AACGCAATTCCAAAATACCATTTACATTCAAAGTAACTAAATACATAATTGCATAATACATTCTACACTCTACAAACACATGACAAAAGTACATATATTATTTCAACAAAAATGGGAAAAAGAACGATATCAATGCGATTAACAAGCGAATGAATTAAACTTGATACAAATACAACAACTCTAAGTCCTAAAACATTATCAATAGAGAAAACAGACTCAAACGGGCATTAAGGTGACTCAAAAATAAAGCACACATTACCAATCTCGAAGAAATACGATGAAGATTACAGACAACACCTAGCTTCAAACATCTCATATGAAAATGAATTGATTCCCACACAAAACATAACTCGACTGTAAACCTCTATTGAGAGTAAACGAATAAAAGAGTTGTGAATCGTATACCTTTTCCGACGCAGCAAATGGGGAACCACGAGCTAAAGAAGACAAGCTTCCACCACTACAAGAGTTACTTCAAAAAATTCCAACAAACAAGCAAAGCGAGTAAAAACCGAAAGGATTGAAAAATGGTCCTCCTTGTTGGTTTGATTATATATCTAATATATTTATATTCTTTCTATATAACTATTTCTCTCTATGCATATATATCAGTAGAAATTTCAACCCCCAACAATGAAGAATAACGGGATATTTATAGGGAAAAATTAGGGTTCGGTTTTGGGGGGAAAAGGGACGAGGGCAATTTCGGGTAAATGCTGGGAATTTTGGAATTCCAATTCCAAATTCTATCCCAAAAATTTGAATATACCGAACGATTCTCAAAACTTCAACGGATTGGAATTGAGGTGGACGTTTAGGATCGATCAAGCGTCCTTGCTATGTAATGTGGCTCGATCTCACGCAGAGAAGAATGAAAATGCGGCTGCTTTAAGACTGGGATAGTATTATCTTTTGAGGAAGACGACAATAAAAAAGATAGTGCTGCCTGTACACGTAGACGCCACTGCTGCTTCCCGTGTATTGACGCCGTGAGAAATCATTTGTTGCTGGAATTAGCGTCGTTTGCTCAATGTTTGGACTGTTGTTGATTGTCGTTTTGAGTAAATATGTAGACGACGTGATTTCCATGTTCACGCCACTTAGGATTTGTGAACATTGCTGAGTCGCCGTTTGTCTTGCCGTTGTAAGCTGTTGTGAACGTTCTGGGTCTTCTTTGAGAAGAAAAGGTGGGCTAGGTTGAGGCTAAAGAGTGTGGGTTGTTGTAATTAGAAATTGGGATCTGGGTTGAGGCTAAAGAGTGTGGGCTGCTGTAATTAGAAATTGGGATTATAATGGGAAATTTGGTGAGCTGGAACGTATGTCTATACGTATTGCTGTTGGTTTCTTCTTGATAAACAGAACTTGGGCCAAATTTGACCTTAAATTTGGTCCAACAAGGAGCAAAAATATTGTTATAATTGGATTTTGAAAAATAACCCAATGGATTGCAAACTTGGCCAATTGAATTAAGAATTTAATCAAAATTGAACTTAATTGGAGAACCTTGGCCAAATCTTAAACAAGACGAATTCAAACAAAAACTAATTATCGAGTTTCTTAAATTTAATGAGATGGAATAATTAAGTGAACTGTAAACTAAATTATTTAATTAATTCAAAATTATAACTATAATTTACAATAAACTAGATTAATAAAATATTTAACCCCGAAGTGTAAAAATCTTTTGATATGATTTCAAATATTTATAAAATATACTAGTTATATAAAATTATATAAAATATATATTTATTATTTAGAAATATTATAAAAATGACTAGAATCACTTTAAAATACTTGAAAATTATTTTGGATCTTCTTTTTTGTAAAACTAATTATTCCAAATCGTTTGAGAATTAAGAAGTTCGAAAATTAATTTTTATCGTGGAGGGTCAAAATTGGGTGTCAACAATTGTCTCTCCCACAACTTTATCTATTTATATTATAAGAAAAATAATCCACAATGTGTGTAATGGTCACTGTTCACTCATTATGTGAACACTACTTATTAAATCTTCTCTCGAATGAAAATACAAAAGAAATTAACTAAAGAAACAAAACAAGAAAAAGAAATGAAAATTCATGCACACTATATATAGAAGTTTATAGTGTGAAGCAAAGTTCATAGATAAGTGAACATTTCTTTTTTTCTTCTTTTCTTCTTTGATAGAAAGTCAATACCTAAATTCCAATGCTAAGAACTTCGGCGAAACATATTAATGAATTGGGGATGAATCATATATGAAAATTTTAAATGATCTCAAATTGTCACAAAAAAAGAGATTCCTAAGAATTTTGAATGGTTGTGATTTATGACTGAAGAAACATAAAGGTAGAAATTGTTGTGACTATTCATAGGGAATTAGTCTTTTTTTAATAAATAAAATATATAGGTTAATTAAAAGTATATTAATGTTCTAAAATAATATAAATAATATTGAAGTATGTATGTGATGAAAATCATAAGAGGAAAATATGAGGATGATTGATGAATGATTTGCTACAATTTGTTCACCATTTCTTTCTTATGTGGTACCTCAAATTTAATTGAATTTCGAAGTTAATCAACTGTTGCAAATAACACTTAAGATTTTTTAAGAAGAAGAAGAGTAGAAAATATAAAAAAAAACTCGTAGTTTAAAAGTGAGAGGAAACCCCCATATTTATAGCTAACAAATAGTAGTATGAATATGTGTTGATTGTGCCTTATCAGAAAAGTCACAACCCTTCTGTTCGCAACAAATTTATGTAAGCGCTGAAAATTAACTGCAAGCAAAATAAATAAAAGAAAATGTGATCGTGTGTGAGTACAATTCTGGTGTTCTCTTGATTCTTCTCTCCTAAACTTCTCCGTGATTCGAGGGCCTTCAGTAGCCTATTTCTCGAATGTAGGATGATGTAGGCCTCCTTGAGATGTATTTGATCTCCGGGAACGTCGGGAAGCACTTCGCTGTTTCAAGTCGATCTCCGGGAAGAACTCTGTTAATCACTCCTTCGAAGAGCTATGTAGTTGATGTTGTAGCTTTCTCCAATTGCAGAATGCTTCTTAAAGAGTTTTCTTCATCCCTTAGAATGTCATGTACATCCCCTATTTATAGTTGTAGGGGGTGGACAAGACTTGCATATGATTGACCAAAGGATATCATTTTGACACTTGACAAATTATGATTGGTTCTTGCATTTGGCTGGGACTACCACCTCATTTGGACACGTGGCGTCACCTTGTTGATCTTGGATTCCTAGTCACTGTGACATGTGGCATGGGTTTGGGCTTCAAGGTGAAATTGACCTTGGACTTGAAGTTAATAAAAATTGACTTATTTATTTGTAAAGCCCAAATGAATCATTCAATCCAAATAAATATGAATTTAATCCAAATTTCGTATGAATTAAACCCAATAAAAAATTTGTGTCTACAGATGCCCCCTACTTCAAGTCTTGTTGAAGTGTAGGTTTGTGGACACTTGATGTGAGACTTGAAGTATTGTGAATCCAACAATATCACTCTTAAGATATTTACTTGACTCCATTTCTTGCGATGAAACAAGTTACATGGTAAGGTCATGTGCAACTCCATTTTGATGTGCTCCTAAGTATTTTTGTTATTTCAATCCAATCGAGGGACGATATGGAGGACTCTCTCGAGATAAGCAAATCAATGTGACAAAGTTGTATGAATTTTAAATTCAAAACTTTCACCATAGATTTGAATACAAATTTGGACACCAACACTTAGAGTGTCACACAAGTCCTCTAAGTCAAATTTTAAATAAAAGAACATAACTTGATTTGCTTCTTTTTTTGCAAACCTTCAACTTAGAAACAATTGGTAATTTAATAATCACACCAAATTTTCTTTCCTTTGCTTGATTTTGTAAGAATCATTCTTGAAATCTTAAGACTTATTACTTTCCTTTTGAGTTCTAGCAACTTCCATTTAGATGGGTAAAAATTGATATGATTTCCTTCTTTCAATTTTACCAAAGCTTTCCTTGTACAAAAAATGAAAATTGTTCAAAGGAACTTCTATATAAGAATCTCCCATGTACAAATGATTGATCAAAGAATCATTGGAAAAAATAATTCTCCTAACCAAATCTATGTGGAACTCCAAATTTGGTGTGTTCTTTTCTCAATTTCGTGCAGTCCCGCCAAAATGTTTTTTTCTTGGTGTAAAAAAATTCAAACGACGAGCGGCTTGATTCTGGAGAAAATAGACTTATAGTACTACGACATATCCAAAAATCAACATCAAAAACCTATTGTATTGACGGGAATTGATTTTTGAAGTTGGTCATCAAATCTGGAAGTTCTCCTTACAGTTATGCGCAATCTCGCCAAAAGTCCCTTTCTCGGTGTTTGAGCATTCAAACAACGAATCAAATTGATTATACCCATTTAAAACATGAATCGAATTGATTATTTTACCCATCTTTATTTAATTCATTTTAAATCTAACTTATATTCGACTCAACCCGCTCATTTACGATTCCTATCTAATACTAACTCATTGGACTCGCTGAGTTCTCAGTTTATAACCAAAAATAGCCGAAAGTCTTTTCTGGGTAGTAACGCTTACAAGGTAAAGTCAGTGAATTGGATAAGAACAATGACGCGTTATCTCTTCCAGCCAACAGATTGAAACAAAAAGTCACGTGCTCTGGTACGTTGCATTACATTATACGTTCTATGTGCCCCCTCCCTATTGGTTTAGACTTTAGACTTACACGCGGGCGGCATCTGTCAAAGCAAATTAATTTCACTTTAAAAATACATAATTACACTTGACCACAAGCAATTTTTGGTAATTAAGAAAAAAATAAGTGAATTGATAGGATAAAGATTTATTAAACCTTATCTTTATCTTTTTGAAAAAGATAAAATTTGACGGACCCGGATAAAATATAAGTAAATAATTAATGAGTTATGGTAGTGCGCACAGCCCACAAAGCACTATATATTGGTGGAGCCTACTCATAAAACCCTTACTATTCTCACTTGTTTTTTGTTTGGAAAAAATTGTTCATCAACAATGGCGACTTCAACCCTAAATCCTAATGCTCCAATGTTCGTTCCCTCCGAATATCGTCAAGTGGAGGACTTCTCCGATCACTGGTGGGATCTGGTTCACTCTTCTCCTTGGTTCCGCCATTACTGGCTTCGTGAATGCTTCTCCGATCCCGAAGCTGACCACGATTTCTCCGATACCTACGATTCTCTTCTCCCTGATACCGATTTCATCAAGCGTAAGCACCTACTTTACTAGTCGTCATTTAGTACTAAAAACAGTCGTTCTTGTCAATTGATTGAATTTTTTATTTGTGTTTAGAAGAGGAGAATAAGAAGGAACTGATTACTTTGGGGATGTTGGAATGGAACAAATCACGAGTTACAGCTGAAATTCCAAAGTACGGGAAGAAAGTGCCGAAAATCGTGAACGTCAAAGTGAGCCCTAGACATATTCAGCAGCCGAGATAGAGCGAATTACTACTCGGAAGCATTTGAGTCAGTTAGTATTGTGTAAATAGTGCGTTCAACTTTTTTTGTTCCCCTTTTAATCTTGTTTTTATCTTTCACTGGTTCATTTTTTTTAGCATAAAAAAACTTGTTGTATATATTGCACTTTTCAACTTGCTTTTCCAATAAATGGCAGAACAGAAAACTATGTTATTAGATTTAATTGATCTGTTGAGATTCTGAATGTAGAAATACTTGAGAAATAAGTATTGTTTAGTGGTATAAAATTGATAAAATCAGGACAAGTATTAATAGGATGATATTGTATAGTAGTATAAAATTGCGCAGTCTGGGCTTATTGATTAGCAACTTGATTGTTGGTCCCAGTTGCTTGCTTGTTTCCCGATCTTGTGAAGAACTTTGATCACCTCTTCAGTCGTCACATTTCCAGTTACTGTTACCTTGTTTAGTTGTGTATCCACATCATATGTTTCAATATCTGCACCACATCCAAAAAATTAATCAAAAATCCAGAATCATATCATTTTCTGGAAGATAATTTGAAGTTGTAGAGAAAAACTTGTCATACCTTCAATTTTCTTGATTGTCTTCAAGATTTTCTTGATGCATTCGTCGCAGTGCAAACCAACTTTAAGCTCCACAACCTAATGTACAGATGAAAATAAATTTCAAAACATTGGAAATCTAATCTAATGAGAGGATCCTGGAAATCTGATCTAATAAGAGAAACCTGTTACTACACGAATGGTTTTGAGGTACTAACATTGGCCATTGTAGTTGTTGCGTTACAAAGCTTCTTGATAGGCAGTTGCCAAACAATCTTCCCAACTGTTGCTGATAGTTTAGAGAAGAATGAAGATATGATGAATGATTAATGTTTTGACAACAGTTGAAAATATTTAAAGGGAGGGGTTGGGTATTGGATTCTTTTCTTTAAGTGAATGGAAATTATTTCACTTTGCCAAAAGCTACTTTAAACCCTTTATTTCTCGACGCGTAAATTATGAGTCTCCTTCAGGGCCGTGAAAGTTCAGATTAGCCTAATATTCTTGAAATGCCAACCAGAACTATAATATTTGGAACCCAAAAAGGGCAAAATATGTTTCGTATTATTAGAAATAAATGTAAATATATTGTTCTTTATATTTTTTGTCAAAATATATTTCCGATTAACATATACTCATTATAGTTTAACACAAATTTGTCCTTAATTTTATTGAAGGAACATGTGACATGTTCGGGATTAAATAGCTTATTTCTAATTGGGAAAAAAATTGAAAAATACTCCAATTTTGTCCGAAATTGCTATTACGATACCAAACTTTATGGAAGACCTTTTACCCCTTGCACTATTTAATAGTGTATTTTAAAGGTATATATGTTTCCATGTGGACACATTATTATTTAAAATATACTATTAAATAGTACAGGGGGTAAAAGGTCTTTTTCAAAGTTTGGTATCGTAACAACAATTTTGGCCAAAGTTAGAGTATTTTTCAGACCCTTTTGCTTTCCTAATTTTAAATATCCGATTTGTATAAAAACTCAAATGTTTAACCCATTCTGACTCATTCTCTCTACTATGGGGAGCATAACTTATCTTATCGTAACTAGTTCAAACAACCCTTCTTAATGTCAATGGAAGGTTGTGATTACGACATTTTCTTGGCAAATATTTAAACGAAGCTTTATTACTATTTGTTTTTAAAATGGTGATTTAGTATAATTGAATCCAAATCTCTTTTAACTAAAGATCCGCTCAAAACCATCAAGCCAAAGCTCTCATTATGGTGAATACGATATAAAACCCATTTATTTTCTTCTAAACATTGAAATTATGTAATTGTAACTTTCAAATTCTAAATTCGCCTGTCTCAACTTTGAATTATTGTCTTTTCTTTACATTTTCTTTTCCTCTTTTCTTTTCAATCCATATAAGTTACAGATGCATATTATGCTCTTATTACATTGTAATCTTGACTTCAATTGTCTCAAACAACTTGCTCTCCTTTTACTTGATTTGACTTTCATTTCACTTTTTACATGTAATGAAAGAACTAGTTATCCTATTACCTATCTTTGGATCTGGTTCAGAGAGTAAATGGTAAACAGTAAAATTAAACGTGACATGAATTTATCGTGGAAAACTGATTACTCAAGGGAGTGAAAAAAAAAAGGTCACGACCTTTCAACCACCAAACTCCACTACCTTCTTAAGAGCAATATTTTAGATTGCAACTCAATAATCTAATGGACTAACTATAGTACCTCGAACTCAAGAAGTCAAACATGCTTTTTGTTACAAATCTTACAATAATCACGAACCTTTGAACAACGAAATAGAAGCTATTACAATTCAGTTAAAACCCCTATTATAAGAACTACCATTGACATCCAGCTATCGCTATGTAACAACCTTAGATTACTCGAGTCAAGTTCTTCTCCCTCTTGCTCATTCTTTCCTTGTAATTTTGCAGATCAGTACCTGAAAATTTGTCTTCTTGCAATATATAGGGTACAACTCGTATGCTCTAAATTCCATCAAACGTTTTCTTGTATGGGTCCAACTAATGTAAGGAAACCTTACCATAATTAACACATTTTTCTTGTGGACTTGGACTCTCCTTGTATTCAACCTCGTATGCCAAATAGGCAGTATCAGTAGTGTCATAATGATATTATTGACAAGGTACAGTGCCCCAATAGCATTGAGATATGAAGTTTCATCACCAAGAAGCTCTTCATCCTTTTCTTGAGGTTAGAATAGATCTTTATTTATATCAAGAGATCTCACAACCATCGAGGTACTCAATGGGTGTGATTTATCCATGTAAAATCGCTTCCAAAACTGTTCAGTATATGTTGATTTATGGATAAATATTCCATTTGTCAAATGTTCAATCTGAAGGCCAAGACAAAATTTTGTCTTATCAATATCTTTCATTTCAAATTTTTTCTTCAAACACTCAACAACTTTTGAAAGATCTTTAGGAGTTCCGATGATGTTCAAGTCATCAACATAAACTGATATTATTACAAATTTAGATTTTGACCTTTGTATAAAAATACAAAAACAAATAGGGTCATTCTTATACCCTTCTTTTAGCAAATATTCGCTAAGACGATTCTACCACATATGCCATGATTGTTCAATCCATATAAGGATTTCTGAAGCTATATTGAACAACTTTCTTTTGAATTTTTATATGCTTCATGCACTTTGAGTGCTTCAGCGATTTTCATAAAAATATCGTGGTCTAGTGAGCCATATAAATAGGTTGTGACAACGTCCATTAGGTGCATTGCAAGCTTTTCATGAATTGACATATTTATGAGATACCTGAAGATAATTGCATCTACCACAGGAGAATGTGTCTCCTCATAATCTTGCGAAATCTTTGTGCCACAAGTCGTGATTTATATCTTACGACTTTACCATTTTCATTGCGTTTTTACACAAAATCCCATTTGTACCCCACTGGTTTGACACCGTCAAGTGTTCGAGCTATTGGTCCGAAAACTTCACATTGTTTAAGTGAAGCCAATTCTGTTTGAATTGCTTCCTTCCATGTTGACCAATCATTTATCTACTACATTCATTGACAGATTTTGGTTCCAAATCCTTATCTTGTTGCATTATTTAACAACAACATTATAGGCAAAATATTATCCACCACAATATTATTTCGATTTCATATTTTTCTCGTCGAGACATAATTTATTGAGATTTTCTCATTCTCATTATTTTCAAGTGCATGGACCTCCTTAGTGGTGTCATCATTTATTATGTATCGGAGCTCTTCATGAGCAGTTGCCTCCATATTATAATCATTTAGTCCTTTTCTTTTCGATGATTTTTATCCTTGAAACCAATTGGTCTTTCATGTTTTAAGTGTGGTCCAGACTCGTTTGCCTTAACATTTTATCTTGTCAGGACATCAACTCGAACTTGAGCATTAGCAGCTGGGATATATGATTTAGTAACCCGTGGAAGGTTAGTAAATGCATCCAGTAGTTGATTTGCAATATTCTGCAAATGATCATTTTTGAACTTCTTGCTCACATTGATTTGTTGATCTAAATGAGAACAATGAAAGTGAATTTCAATCTATCTCATTTTCAACTGCTTTTGTTCTCCCTCTAATGTTGGGTATACTGATTCATCAAAATATCAATCAACAAATTTTGTCGTAAATAAATTTCTAGTTCTAGGTTCCAAGTATTTTTATAATAGAATGAAATTCATACCCAACATATATGCCCAACCTTTTTTGGGGATCCATCTTTGTGCGTTGTAGTGGAGCAATTGGAACATATACAACACAACCAAAGATTCTAAGATGGGAAATGTTTGCTCCTGATAAAAATCAATTGCAATGGGGAGATGTCATGATAACTAGTTGGCCCTATGCGCACAAGTGTCGCTGCATGCAAAAATAGCATGCCCCCATATTGAAACAAACAACTTTGTCCCCATCAACAATGGTCTAGCTATCAATTGAAGACGTTTAATCATAACTCTGCTAGACCATTTTAGTATGAACATGTGCAACAGGATGTTCAACTGTTATTTCAGTGGACAAACAATAATCATTAAATGTCTGAGATGTAAACTCACCAACATTATCAAGACAAATTATCTTTATTGCATAATCTGAAAATTGGGTTTTTAACCTTATTATTTGAGCCAACAACTCACAAAAGCAATATTTTGAGTTGATAATAAGCACATATATGACCATCTTGTAGATGCATCTATCAAGACCATATAGCATTTAAATGGTCCACATGCAGGGTGAATAGGTCCAATATATCACCTTGTATTCGTTTCAGAAATGCAGGAATTTCACCCAACCTTAGCGCTGATGGTTTGATAACCAACTTTCCTTAAGAATAAGCGGTAGAATTTTTTGATTGAAAACATTTTGGTTCTTCAAAGTATACCATGTGAATTCTCAATTTTTGCGTATCATTTATAATCGGGATGGTCCAACTCATGCCAAATAATAAAATCATTAGAACCAGTAACCTTTTTGTTTACTACGACTGTGATTCAACCGTACCAATATTTATATGGTAAATCAAAAAAGTGTAGACAATTTTTCATGCACAATTTTCTTCTCCAACATTTATTGTAGTAATATAAAGGTATTCAAACTTTCCTTCATTGCAGTCTCAACATGATATCCATTTTGGCGAATA